CGACACAACGCACCGGCACCGAATGCATACAAGTGGCTGTGTTTAGAAATTTCCTAAAAATTTGCACAAAATACAAAAGTAGCAGGTCGCCGTACTTAGGGTGCATTAAACAGAACCGAAACATCAAATAAATATGTTAATGGAGTCCGAAGTATAGCGAGGTGCGTTCAAGTGCGGGACGCGGGGTGCGGGGTGCGGGGTGCTGGGTAAACACGGAGAGCATAACTAGCGCGCGGTACAAAGGCCAGCGAATGTCTTATTCAAAGCGGCAATACCGCGGCGCCTAAACAAACAGGAGCCGCATTTCCGGAACGCGTTCCGCTCGTGAGGGCCGAGAGCCGCGCGGGCCGTCTCCCGCGCCCGCTGTTTGCCCGCATTACCATCACAAAGATGAGCGGTCAGCTCTCGAACTCCACTTCGCATTGAAATTATACATTATAGCAAACACTCGAGGCGAAGCTGCGGAGTTGATCTCGCGAGGCGGCGGGCGGGCGGCCGGACTTCCGCCGCCACACAACCTTTCTCCTCGGTTGTGAATACATTAATACCAGATTGCTTTCATTTCAAACGTTTTTTATGTAACAGTGGCAGAGCCCGCTTTAACATCTTCGCACGAATCGGCCCGGCTCGCCCGGAGAAATACCACGACCCACAGAAGACAGGCGTGAAGTGGAAGTAATTCCGCATTTCGTCTGATGAGTGTGCGTCCCGGAGGCCTTACTTAGTCCCCTTTCCATTCCCACCGTTTTTCTTATAAAGAAAAGATGAGAAGTGGAAGTGGACTTTCATGCAATGCATGGAAAGGAAAAATATTTTCTTTCTGTTCCGTCGATTAAAGGTAGGCAACGCTATGCAATTGCGTATGTCTATGGGCAACGGTCACTTCGCTATTCACAACGGTCGCTCGCTCGTTTGCCACCTCATGATATAAAAAAAAATCATCATCGACGTCCATGTACAACAGCAACATAAAAGCAGCCGCTGGTGCGTTGTCTGCTCAAAGTGAAAGTCAACGTCACCCGAAGAGTTCACTGATTCCACACAGTGTTTCACTTCCCAGACATTAGCTATTAGCGAGTGATAATTTTTGTTTTGACGGAACTCCTCCGCACAATCAGCATTGCATTAAAAAGGGCACCTGGACCTTGCGGCAAAGAAACGGCCTCAAAACTCGAGTCACTTCACTTTTCGTCTCGCGTCGCACGCACAGCTACCAACGAACTTTTTTATAAATCTAAACTTACGTTAGAATTCGCGCATCGATGCCGAACCCGTCGCTCCCCTTTTACTATTAAAAAAATTAAACAGCTTTTAAACGTACATCGCGTTCGGCGAAAGCGAAAAAAAACTACATCTCAGGTAATCGTAATAATGGCGCAGCGCGCTAAAAAAATTCACTAAGGGCGGAAAAAGAAACGGATTTAAACAAAAAAAGGGAATTTTTAATTCGCCACGTGAGGGGTGCACGGGGGGTGCGCGGGGCACGGGGCAGGGAGTGGGTCGCGGAGGCGCCGGGCCGCAGTCGCGCCGCTCCCGTCGCGCAGAGCGGACTACGATCACATTCACCCCGAGCAGCCTGAAACCCTTCACGAGCGATGGTACTATCGGCGTGCGTGCGCGCCGCCGCGAGGTCCTACTGCGCCGCCTACCGTGAGTACCACCGCCGCCGCCGCCGCCGTCGCAGCCGCTTGACACAGCTCTGGCATCAACACCTTATCACCACATTAAGCCATTTTTACTTTAACTTGTTCACTGTCTGCTCGGCCGCGGCGAAGGCAAGCTTTACTTATATGTTTATCGACCTCGTAACCTCACGGGTAATAGATACGATTCAATACGTCCAGACTTTGTTAATTTTATATTTGTTTATAGCGAAATAGGAAATTTTGCGAACTGGCCCGGCATAGTATACAGGTGTTTTTGTGTTACAATTTAAAGCTATGTTTTAAAACCCAATTACACATAAACAACAGTCAAGAAGTTTGGAAATAAAAGAAAATTTATTATCTCTCTCTCTTTCTCTCTATTTTTTTTCTAGCTATTATCCAATAATATGACGGTCGGTCTGGTTTAAACCGCTCAGTCTTCTGTACCGCACTAATGTGCTGCAGCATTCCACCTTGTTGTGTTTCTGCCCCGGAGTCCAGTATGAGATGGCAAACGAAAGCGCTTCGCTTCTGAATTCGCTTTTTTTTCGCTTTCGTTTCCTTATAAGAAAAGTGTGGGAAAGGGGAGAGAACTAAAATTAGGCTTCAGGCTCGCACACTCTTCATGTTGAAGGCAACATGCGAGCTCTTCCCCAATCTGCTCCTGGCTCTGGGACGTGAAAAGAAAGCCGAAGTGCCGGAAAAGTCGTTTGTAAACAAATTATAGTAAAATTTTCAATGAGAACAGCAGGGACAGCTCGCGTCACATCATTGCGCGACTTTCAGCGACTTGGGTTACTTATTTACATAGCACACAGTAGTATAATAGTCATTGATGTCTAGGAAACTAAGAAAAATATACATACTTGTGAAGTTATGATTTTAGTTTTGACACGAGAGACAGGACCAGTTACATGTATTTATATATATATAATACAAGTAGTATATGTATATATATAGATACTTCTTGTTTCATTTACTTAGCCTACATTTGTTTATTTAATGATTTATACCCGACAGACAAGAGCGCGCGGTTGTAAAGTGCTTTTTGTTTTGTATGTGAGTGAGTTTGTATGGTGTATGTAAATTCCATTTTGTTTCTCATTGTATTAAGTTTATGTTATTTATCAAAGGGAGACCTTTGCAGATACAATATTTAAAATCAAGTGTAGGGGTAAGCAATCCATTGAAAAAAAAAGCACGCTGTGGGAGGAGATCATACTGTACAGCTTAAAGGCCATCATGAGGATGATTTTGCACTATTTGCCGCATCCATACTCAAGTTGATTCTGAAAATAACTAACATTTGAATAGTTGTAGTTGTTCAACAGTTGTTGAGTAATGATTTTATAATTTGGCCTACATCTTGTTGGTGATGTCGCGCACACCGAGGCTGCCTCGCACAAACTCGTTGCGCATCTTATCAGCTCCACTACACGTCCCCACCGAGGGGCTCGGAGCCTACCCTATGTAAGGGGTGATTAGGCCATAGTCAACCACGCTGGCCAAGTGCGGGTTGGTTGACTTCACACATATCTTTGAATTTCTTCTCAGATATGTGCAGGTTGCATCACGATGTTTTCCTTCACCGTAAGAACGTCAGATAAATGTACATATGCAAATCGGAAATCGAAAAACACATTGGTACATGGCGGGATTCGAACCCAGGACCTGCAGATTGCAAGTCAAATGCTTGACCCCTGAGCCACCGACGCTTGACGGTCTTATTATGAACTTATAAACTAAACCCTTGAGTTTTACTAGCATTCTTCTGTCGCAAGTGACACCAGCCAGTTCTCGGTACTTTTGCCACACTGCGGCTATTCAGTTTCCCAGGAAGTGCATCATATCTCCAATATATTTATATTAATGGCACACGGTGACTGGTTGACGCTTCAATTTGTATTTTTACTGGGTCTTTGCAACACTCAACACTAGGCCACCGGTCTGCCACTTGTGTTGTGTGTGTGTGTGTGTGTGAAGTCAGGAGTGGTTCTTCTAATTTCTATTATAAAATATTTATCGATAATTGAGATGTATATAAAGTCACAATTATATCTGTTGATAAGTCACCTTTCCCATCCAGGAAATCTCCTTTGAACAAATAAACTATTTCTATTTTAATATAGCACTCGTTACTGTACTAAAAGTACAAAAAATATGTTATATATTAATTTAAAAAATGAATCACATAAGACAGAAGAAAAAAGAAGGCCAAGTGAGGAGTCGCTCGCCCCCGCCCCCGCCGCGGCCGTCTCCGCTGAGGCACGCCAGCGAGTCTGGTAATTTAATACAATTCGAAAGTATTCGCGGAAGGATTATTCAAACACGGGATAAAAAACGAACATTTGTTCATTTTTACATTTATTCCAAAAAAAAATAATCTGAGGTGACGACCCCGCGTGCGGGGGCGGGGGGGCGGGGGGGCGGGGGGGCGGGGGGTGCTCGCAGAAAAACTTTCGATGACGATTCAATAAGCGAGTGCACTTTTTACATTTGCGTCTGCGATTTCACGAGTGCACGGGGATTAGGGGTGCGTGGTGCGGGTGCGGGGTGCAGGGGCGCGGCAGCAGGCATAGACAGGTAGACACCGGAGTTATGTCTATGTTACATCGTTCGTTACAATTTTTGGCGTCTTCATTTTACTTTGCTTAACGAATGTTATCAGTTTTGCAGTGATAAGGAATGTGGAATATGTATGAATGAGTATATCGCGCGCCGAGGAGGGATGATGTCTCCAGAATGACCAGCGTCGGTGACCATACACAGACTAAAAGTGTGGACGTAAGTCTTGCGGGTACACTTGGGTCACATCTAAGGGCGATGGGCGATGTAAGATGTGCCGCATCTGCCTCTCTGTCGAGTCATGTGGAGGTGTATGGAAGATGCAAGTGAGGTGTACCACGATACGGTCAAATAGAACTTCGTAACCTTACACGACCTCTTTGAGCTGAATTTCGGCTGTGAGTGTTATGTTTACGTGTAAAAGAGATTAGGAGCAAACGCGGCCGCGAGCGCTGCGCCGTCACCACCTCTGATTATCCAATTAATCGTACCGATAATTACTTAATCTTGTTATGTCCCCTTAAATTAAGTATATCGAGTGTACCAGATTGTGTCTATTTTGGACAGCGGAGACTACACTTCATTAACACATTGTATGTTTCCGCCGCGGACTCACCAGCCGCATGCCTCAACCAGCACCTCACCCAGCGCCTCACCAGCGCTGGCACCCAATAATATATGCAGCTGCCCTCGCATACAACATCACACTGCCCCGTTATCAAAACTTTACTTTTATTCGTTGTACTGATTGTTGTTATATTATTACTACGCTATGTTTGTGTGTTTCAGAGGAGTCCGGTGACCTCATCAAGTCGCCGTCGCCGCCCCCCAGCCACGGTGAGTGTCACCAACCTCCCTCTTCCGGCTCTTTTGCCTGTCCAGTGTAACTATGGAAACCTCAGCTTATTAGTGACATGAACAAAACTTAGTACACGCTCTGTTGCGGTCGCATTGAAACATCGCTGACGATAATTGTTATAATACATATTACAATTACTTTACGCACGAATAATATAAATGCTTGGCACCGTCGGGGAGCGAGCGGGACGCCATAGATCTCGGTAATCCCTCGCGAACCGCGTGCCAACGTGCCGCCGCCAGCCAGCTCCAGCCGACGAGGCCCGCACGCGCCGCACGCGCCGCCTGCCGCCGCAGAACGCACGCGCCGCGCAAAAAAACGCGCAACCCTTCTACGATCCACTTTAAAGAAAATGATCGCATGCAACGACATCTTTGTCCCTCGATGTAGTCGTCGCGCCCCGCCCCTAGTGCATTACACGCCGCCGCCACCGCCGCGGTACGTTGTCACATACTAAAGGATTGCCTCTCGTTCACATTCACTTTACAACAGTCGAGTTTCTATTCCAACTTTATTTTAAATACAATATATTTGGTGAACTTTATTAAAGCAAATCCGTGGCTTGAACAAAAATTATATCTAAGGACGTCTTTTTCAGATATTTGGTAGAATGAAATAATCTGCATCAAGCAAAGATATAAACCTCTTTAGTGTTGAAAGCAGCAAACTAGAATATTGTTACTAAGTAACCTGGTTACGGCTTGCAATGTTCCACAAGTCGCGGATCTATCATATGACCTGTAGTTATACAACTTGCTATTTATATTATAACATAACAATTATTTGTATAATATTATATAACACATACATGTACAAGTTCTGCGGCGACGAACGGCGCGCAAATTTACATGTAATATCCGGCCGGGGCGGGGGCGGGGGCGGGGGCCGGGGGCGGGGGCGTAAACGTCAGGTCGCGCTTACACTATTTCATCACTATTCATCATATTGTCTATCAGAATAATGGATTTTATATATTGGGGTATATTTAGAGCGTCCGGAAATTACGCGCAAAGAGGACGACCGTAGATTCTTTGCTCTAAAATATTATTATTCAATTAAAATTAAAACATATAATGCTGCTTACTTTGGGACTACGTATTTAAATGATTTTGTACAAAAGTCAAAAGTTCCAAAAAAAATTCTATTAAATGAGCGACACGCGCATGATGTGATGTGACACGCGCCACCGCGACACAAACGAACTCGTTCCATTTTATCACATAAATATACACATGTACATCATTAACTGCTCTTACTTATACTACTGCTTCTCAAAATGTTCTCGCAAAACAAATGTTCTCGCACCACTAAATGTGAAATATCCTTATTCATAATATATTTAATTTTGGCGTTGGATGAAAACGATGGATGGAGGTACACATCAATATACGTGATGATGGTGATTGCAGACGGCTCGGCGAGCGGCGAGGGCGACGGCAGCGGAGACGAGCGCCCCCCCTCCGAGCACTCGCCGCCCCGCGCTCCGCTGCCCCGCGGCGCGCTGCCGCCTTCCAGCGTCGCTGCCACCGCCGCCACTGCCGCTGTTCTGGTACAATATTAACTTAACTAATAGTTGTCAATGTACAAACACATCGCATTGCCACTAAATAATCACCAGTCCAGAGCTACAAACCTAGTTTTAGTTATTCAGTAATTTTATTATTTGAAAACTACCAGAAATCGCTAAGATAGGAAAGTGACCGCTGCTCTTTAGATTACGATAGAATAAGAAGTATGTTGCCATGCTTTAAGTACCCAAATTCACTGAACTCCTTATTTATTCAAAGTCGGACAACGCAACCAAAGTTTTTTTTTATATCATAAAGTGGCAAACGAGCGAGCGGCCACCTGAAATAGCTGAAATAGCGTAGTAACTGTTGCCCATAGACAGACGCAATTGCATATGCGTTGCCTACCTTAAATCGACGGAGGAGAGTATGCACAGAAAGAAAATATCTTCCCTTTCCATGCATCCTCTCATCCGGAAAGTCCACTTCCACTTCCCATCCTTTCCTTATAAGAAAAAGGGTGGAAAGGGAAAGAGGACTAAATAAGGCCTCCGGGGCGCACACTCATCAGACGAAACGCGGAATTGCTTCCACTTCACGCCTGTCTTCTGTGAGTCGTCGTATTTCACCGGGCGAACCGGGCCAATTTGTGCGAAGATGTTAAAGCGGGCTCTACCACTGTTAAAGTGTTCGTTTCGTTCGTGTTCTACCACTGTTAAAGTTCTCTCGTTGTTCGTTACACTTGGCATTAGACGAACCGCTAGTCGTTTGTCCTTTAATCCAATGAAACTGATCGCTGTATATGTATGTGTGTGTGACTGCGCAGAGTGCGGTGCAAAATGCTGCGCAGAGTGCGGCGCAGTGCGCGGCGCAGAGTGCGCAGGGCGCGGGGAGTGCGGGGGGCGCGCTGGCGCAGCTGCAGCAGCTGCTGCTATCGCAGCACGGAGCGCACTCGCTGCTTCTCCACACGCAGGTTCGTTACAAGTAAAATTTTAATTACAATCAATGTTTACGGGACGAGCTATTTGTTACACGATATTTCCCCATATCCCAAACAAATTAAGTACGTATTCGACAAAGCGAAACGCACGTCGAATACAGTTTTAGCGAGCTCGAGCGTGGACTAAGGCAGGTTGTGTGGGCGCAGGTGCAGCAGGCGGTGGCGCAGGCGGCGGCGCAGCAGCTGCGGCAGCTGCAGGCGCGCGTCGGTCTCCCGCCCCCCGGCTCGGCAGGTCGGTGCCACCACATCAAACGCTCCTTCTATCACTCTCGTTCGGCCGTTCGCATTTCTTACACGATCTGTATTAATGATTTATCTCTTTATGTCCTAATAAAGTCAAACTTATTATAGCGTTCTGTGGCGACGAGGCGAGATCGCCCTCGCCGCGGCGGACGCCACCGGGCGGGGGCGCAGGTGCGTTCTTGACACCCCTCACACCCTTGACGCCGCTCGCCCCGCTGACGCCGCTGACGCCGGGCCCGGGGCGCGCGCGCTCCCCCGGCGCCTCGCGCACGCCGCTACACGCGCACGCGCACAAGCCGCGCGCGCTCGAGCCTGCCGCTGACGACACAGCCGACTTAGAGGAGCTCGAGCATTTCGCCAAGACCTTCAAGCAGCGCCGCATCAAACTCGGTGAGCCCCCGCTGCCCCCGCTTCCCCCGCCCCTCTCGGTTACCTCGCTTCTCGTTCATCATCTTCTTTGTTTTGCCGCTTTCTGCTTTCTCTTAGTATCCCGCTACTCGAGAAGGCCTCGAGGTTATCGGGTCGTCTGGTCGAGCGTTGACAAGTGCGGGGCGCCCCACGCTTGCCCACACGAGACTGTCTATCCAACATGTGTGTCATGTCATGTCGAATCCTCGTAGATCGTTTCTTCGCCTCTCATATGTCGATGGCGACCGATGCTCAAAATCGCTTACCAAAGCGTTACCCCGACGCTCCCTAGCATGTCTATTGGAATGTTGTTGGAGGAGCAGGGCGGAGCTCGCTATTATCAGTTTACAATCGGAGCTGATGTAAGATATGCGCACTTGGCAGGGTTCACGCAGGGCGACGTGGGGCTCGCCATGGGCAAGCTGTATGGCAATGACTTCTCGCAGACGACGATTTCGCGCTTCGAGGCGCTGAACCTCAGCTTCAAGAACATGTGCAAGCTGAAGCCGCTGCTGCAGAAGTGGCTGGAGGACGCGGATTCCTCGCTGGCGGGCGGCGGCGCGGCGCCGGGCGCGGGCGCGGCGCTGGCCGAGGCGGTGGGGCGCCGCCGCAAGAAGCGCACCTCCATCGAGTCCGGCGTTCGCGTCGCGCTCGAGAAGGCCTTCCTCCACAACCCCAAGCCCACCAGCGAGGAGATCGCCGCGCTCGCCGACGCCCTCTGCATGGAGAAGGAGGTCGTGCGCGTTTGGTTCTGCAACCGGCGGCAGAAGGTTAGCTTACGACTTTATTCCTCTAATTAACAAAGACAAGGATCTTGTAATATCTCGACGAATTTTCGCTAAAGATTGACGATTTCGATGGAAAACGATTATGGTATATAAAATCTTCCTTTGTTCTGTTATAAACACCGTAGATACTCTCAATATTCCCGACGCGTTCGGCAGGTCGGGGGGCGCTGCGGGGCGGCGGC